AAAGAAAAATATGCACCAGAAAACTGCACACTAAAAATCCCTTATATTGCATAGAAAAAAATTCCTAAGAATTCAATGCTGCAACAGATGGAAAGAATTACACATCACAATCAAGTGAACTTAACCTAGGAACACAAGATGGTCACAACATAAGTAAACCAATCAAGATAACATACCATGTTGGTGGTTTAAATGAGAAATATCCCTGATAAGTTCAGGCATTTTAAACACTTGTGCACCTGTTGATGCCATTATCTAGGGAAGTTGTCTAACCTTTTAGGGGGTAGTGCAGCCTTGCTGAAGAAAACACAGCACTATGGGTGGGCTTTGACAGCTTATATGCTCGTCCTACAGCAGTTCATTCACTCTGTTCCTTCATGTGGATGGAAATGTGATCTCTGTTTCTCTTTAATATGCTTCCCCCACTATTATGGATTCTTCCTCTGTAATTGTGGTATTGTATGTATCACAGTGATAGAATAGCAATTAATACACCATGTTATTACAATAAAGGGCAAAGGCTGCATGAATCGTTTTATTCTTGCATTAAAGCCTTTGAAGAAATGCAACATAACCCTGTAGAAAAACACCTAAAGAAGAAGGAACAAAAGAAACATCATCAACTTTAAAAAATAATCTAATGAAAGACCTGAAAGTAATATATTTATCTGCAAACACATAATGTTTTTCTTATAAGATCAAAACAAAATAAGCAAATTATCTTGAGAAATTTATATGACCTAGTTGTAGGAATTAATCAAGAAAATGAAATAAAATATGCCCACTTTGGAAAGGAAGAACTATCACAACTTACAGATGCCATGTTCTCCTAAATAAAAAAAAATTAAATGACTGAGAGAAAAACACTAGGTCTAATAAACAATTTCATCCCTAGAACCTACATGGCAGAGGCAGAGAATTGACTTCTGGAAGTAAATCAAGTTTTATTTTATATTATGATGAAGATGAACAATCCAAATTTATTAAACATTTCCACTGAAAATACCAAAACAGTGAAATACTATTACATGCCAATAAAACACAAAACATAAAATACTAAGGAATAAACTTATTAACTAAATATCAAATTTATGAACTGAAACCTATAAAGAATCAAGGACCTAAATAAACATAAAATTTGGAAATTAGAACATTCGTACAAAAGACCAGAGAAGTTGAACCTAGCAAGTCTTAAAATTCATTGCTTAGAAGTTCAACAATAAGTTGAGTAACATTAAACAAACAAATGCAAAGAAAAGCTCCTAACAGTACCACTTCCTGAGAGAGAGAGAGAGAGAGAGAGAGAGAGAGAGAGAGAGAGAGAGAGATCAGATCCTAAGGTAGAATAATCTTCAGTTTAGACCATTTATGGGGGTCAGTGCATCTCAGCTGTCAAATACACGACTCCTTTCTCTGAAGAGTGTGTTCCCTAACAAATACTACAGAGGATTCTTGTTGGGGTGGGTTTTTAACTACCCAGGCCAGAGCAGAATTGGGCTTTTCTTCGACCAATAACTGGGAAATCTGTGACCATTCTGCCCCATTCATACACTGACTTTTCAACTGTAAAATTTTGATAATAACTGACAGGACTGAGTAAACACTGAATGTAAATGCACAGGGACAGCCGAGGAAATGGTGCTGTACATTCTACCTAACACAATGAAAGATAATGTTCTAATATCTTATTAATCCTTTAATCTTTTCAGAATCCCAGCTACCCCCATGTTAGCTGTTTATAAATGAATTTATAGCTCCAGGATTTTCCCATTGGCCAAACATCTACTTTTAATAATATATGTGATGTTTTCAAAAGTTAGAGTCTCAAAAGATTATTATACAGAAAGACAATTGTCTTAAGCCACATATACAGATTACAACAGAGAAGTTTATTTTGAATGTTCAGTAGGCATACTGACAATATGTGTGTCATATTATTGGACACGTTATTTGGTGAGTCGGACTACATAATGTGATAAAGGCAACATTTAGTCTTTATTATTATCCTAATTACAAAAGCCAAGAGTGATTCATCTAAATTATATTGTGAATTCAAGTGAGAAGATGTTAAGTGTCTTGCTCATGAGGGATAGACCACCATTTTCCTTCCTTTGATCCATCTTTAATCATAATCAATGTCAAAGAACATGTAAAACTCAAAAAAGTACTAATAGAATCTGGCTGTAAATATATTTCACTGAGTGTAAATGGTGTAGATTAAAAATGCAACTAGCATTTTATAATATGGTATTTCTAATGTGCAATAAATTTCTTTAAATATACTAATACACTTTAGTAACAGAGAAGTGAGCATTGTAACCAAGTCACATCATTAGTATATATGGAATTCTATTAAAAGTTTAGGTGAAGATCAATGATGAAATTAATAGTCATAAACATTTAAATGTTTTAAAAGCATTTGTAAGAGAAAAATTTTACTTCAAATATTGGTTCTCAACTTCTCATTACAACATAATGAATATGTCAGTTCCCCAAAAATGTCTCTTAATACTATTAATTTAACCACCCTTCAAAACGTATTTGGACACAGACTTACCATAAATGCACCTAATGTGTATTCTACATTATCTAGATTTGTCAGAAATGTGAATAGCACTGAGCTAAAGGACCACATGCTAAAGGCTAAAGGACCATGTGCTGTGTGCATTCTACTGCCATGCACAAATGATAGCCCAGAAGGACTAAAGCTATGTGAATGGGGACTCCAGAATATCAAGAAGTATTCTTCCTCACCTGACAGTGACCAATTTTTCACATTTACAGTGGGCAGAGACCATGAGCTCTTGTCTTCAAAGCACTTCCATAAGCAAAGGGATAGAAGTGACAGAATTCTACTTGGAAGAATTTCATAACAAAGGCATGGCTCTCAGGTTTCTTCATGAGGAAATTAAACAGAGAAAACAGGACCATATCCCCAAAATAAATGTTACCATGTCTTTAATATACACTAAAAAGCCAGAACCAAGACATTGTCATAGTATATAGTTACTTTAAAAATTATATGTCTAAGCTTCAAACCATTTATAGTTTTATAAAATCCACGTTAACTAATCCCTTACCTGCCTACTCCATAAAATTTCTGACACAAAAAAAAAACGTAATTAGGATTTCAATTTGGATGAATACAAACACATTTGTCATTAGTCACTATTAGCTTCGGCTGTATTCTGCTCATCAGTTTCATGCTATAGTTTTCATTTTGTTAGTGATTTCTGTTAAGCAGAGTGCTAGTATGTAGAAATCAGAGGTAAACATAAAATGTAGCTATCCTAGTGCTAAGTATTCATTTATGTTTCAGTATCCAAGCATGCACAAGGTGAATGACAAACACAGTGGACAGCAACACACACCCAGGAGAGGTGCTTACTGTAGTGGTCAGTGCATTCCAATCTGGGGTTGATATGTTTCTCAGACTGTGCTTCTGAACCAGTCAAACGCAGCATACACAATGCTGTTCCAGCCACTCTGCAGCATTTCCTAAATGACTTGCCTGCTTTTGCTGTGATTATGTTTTCCTGCTCCAGGCTGATAATCAAATTTCTGACAAATCAAAAGGAATAAAACATAAGATGAAGCTATTAAAAACCAGCTATCAACAAAAAAGTCAAGACCTCTAACATGAAATAGAAAAAAAAGGTACATTTTCTCTGATTTATTTATGATACAGAACAGAACCAATTGTAACCACAGTTTTTACTAGTAGTAGAGAATATTGTAAGATTTCTTAATTCAATATTTTCTGGTGTTTATTATATTTAATAAAATAACTAAATGTCAACCATATTTATAAAAGTGTATTTATAAAGGCTTAATGAAAGACTAAAAGAAAGAGATTATTCATGAAGAGATATGATGAAGGCCACAATAATATAAATTGATACAAATCATTGCTTTTCTTCCCATCATAGAAGTAATTAGTGTTTCCTTACAATTTTTTAAATACCACAGTGATAGCTAGTAAAAATACATCTGCATGTATTTGAGGTTTCCCATTATTATCCTTCAGTTATTCATTCAATATGAGAGTACTTCGCGGATTCAGGTATTTCAGTTTGCAATGCATATTTTAAAAAGGTCAAGGACATAGCATAGATGCTTGGTATAAAACCAGATTTAAGAAATGATGAGAACAGTATTTTGAAAGTGATCATCCTTCAACTTGCCATTTCTTACAGCTGAAACACATTCCTATATGAAACCCCAAAAGTAGGCAAGATCTTGTGCTATTCATGTTTCTGTGATAAAAGATTTTACTAAAAATATGGAAGGCAGGCTGACTGACTAAAATACAATCCAATCCTATCCTGTTTGGGGCTGCAATGGAAAGAGCAAGGTGTCATAAATAAGACAGTTATTTCCAACATTTTGGCTCAAAATAAACATCCACTTGTGGATACAGTCTCCAAGGTTCCAGGATGTAAGGAACTGTTGTTTAGGATGTGAAATGGGCAAAACTTCCAAAAGGAGTCTCCCCTTTATTCTGAAAACTCCAATCAAACAAACCTACTGTTAACTATCAAAACTAATGCAAATATGGTTACTGAGTCATTAGTTGATATCAAAGAAAACTGATTTTTAAAATTTAAAACAAGTGAGAACATTTTTTTTATAATGTCTCAGTTGACTTTTTTCCAAATCCAGATTTTCTCATTGATAAAAAAACACCCTGCTGAGTCCTTCTCTGGGCCCCAGGAGCACTGCTTCTGGACCCGGCCCCGCCCACAACTCCCCCTGCTCCCCTGGGCCTGCACCACCTGCCATCCTCTTTCTGGGACTTGGGAGCTGACCTTTCCTCTTCCTGCCTTTGCATCCTTGCCTCTTCCAGCCCAATCTGCCTTTGCATCTCTGGGTGGCATAGCCACCAGCTGCCCTAGACCAACATCTTTTCTGGGCCAGGCTCTGAGGCTAGTAAAACTCTCAAATTCCTGAGGCCAAAATCGGTCTGGAGGGATCCAGACCTTAGGAGAAAGCTTGAAGTCATCTGACCCTCATCTGAATTGGGCCTCTGTGGGAACTCCTGAAGACAAAATCAATCTGGCCACTCCAAAATAAAATCAAGAGAGAGAACCAGAAGCTTAGACAAAACAGCCTTTCATGCCCAAAAAGTAAACCACAAAGACCCATAAAGTTCACAAAAACAAGTAGACCTAAACTTGAAGGCGTGAGTCTCACACAAGAATCAGAAACTACAAAAGAAATTCACATGTCAAAATCACAGAGAAAAAATAATAGC